CAGTAGGGGGCGTGGCAGGAGGCAGCCAATCAATGATTTTCTCATCATTGATGTTTCTATCTCTGAAATCAATAAAAATATTTTTTTTTAAAGAAAAGAAATAACTGAAAATTTTTCCAATTTAATACAAACTACAAGCTCACATATTAAAAAAACCTCAACAAGCCTTAACCAGAATAAACATAAAGAAAATTATGCCAACGCACATTGTAATCAGCTTGGGAAAAGCAGTGAAGAGAATAAAAGCAGTCAGAAAACAAGACGTTCTGTTCAAAGGAATAATGAACAACACTAGGCTTATCATCAGAAGCGACCCAAGACAGAAGACAATAGAGCAATATCATTAAGGTACTGAAAAAATAGTCCATCAACCTAGAATCTTTAAAACAGAGAAGTACTTTTCTAAATTGAAGGGAAAAATAAAAGCTTAGAGAATTCATCATCAGAAGACCTGTACTATGAGAAATGTTAAGGAAAATTTTTTAGGCAGAAGGCAAATGATATCAGATAGAAATCTATTATCTCTACAAAAGAAATGGAGAGCACAGAACTAATATATATTTGGGTAAATATAAAAGACATTTTTACCAAAATGATAATACAATATATGCTATGGTCTAAATGTTTGGGACCAATGGGGAGGAGGGTAGCAAGATAGGATATATAAACTTAACCATACCATAAATTACATTAAATGTAAATGGTTTAAGCATCCCAAGACAGATATTGTCAGACAGACTTAATTATATGCTATGTATAAGAAATTCATGTTAAGCCCTAACTGGTTTGGTTCAGTGGATAGAGCGTCGGTCTCAGGACTGAAGGGTCCCGGGTTTAATTCTGGTCAATTGCACATGCCCAGGTTGGGGGCTCGATCTCCAGTAGGGGGCGTGCAAAAGGCAGCCAATCAATGATTCTCTCTCATCATTGATGTTTCTATCTCTCTCTACTTCCCCCTTCCTCTCTGAAATCAATAAAAATATATTTTTTTAAAAAAGAAATTCATGTTAAAACCCTAACCCCCGCAAGTGATAGTATTAGGTGAGGCCTTGGGGAGCTAATTAGGCTCCACCCTCATGAATGTGATTAGTGCTCTTATAAAAGAGACCCAGGAGAGGTCCCTCCTCCCTTGCAATATTGTAAGGTTACAGCCAGCTGGCTCTCACCAGACATCTAAATCTGTCTGACCAGTCGGTACCTCTGTCTTAGACTTCCCAGCCTCCAAGAACTGTGAGAAATAAATTTCTGTTGTTTATAAACTACTCACTCCCTGGTATTTGTTAGGATAGCCTAAATAGACTAATATAATATATTGTCAGATTTATAGCACAGGTATAAGTAAAATGTATGACAATAACAGCAAAAAGTATGGGAGAGCAAAATGAAAGCATACTGCTGCAAAGGTTCTTGCATTATACATGAGGTGATAAATTATTATTTACAGAAAACTTCTGAAAATTTAAAGATACATACTGTAAAGCCTATAGCAGCCACAAGAAAAATGAAACAGAGAAATATATAGCTAACAAGGCAATAGTGGAAATAAAAGGAAATCATAAAAAAAAACCTCAATCCAAAAGAAATCATGAAAAGAGGAAAAAAGGAACAAAAACCATATGGGATAAATGTGAGTGTGTGTGTGTGGGGGGGGGGTAGAAATAGCAAGATAGGAGATATAAACTTAACCATACCATAAATCACATTAAATGTAAATGGTTTAAGCATCCCGAGACAGATATTGTCAGAGAGACCCAACTGTATGCTATCTATAAGAAATCCACTTTAAATATAAAGACACAAACAGGTTAGAAGTAAAAGGATGAAAAAAGACATATCTTGCAAGTTTAAACAAAAGAAAGCTGAGTGGCTATAGACTTCAGAACAGGTATTACCAGAGATAGAGACATTTCATAATGGGCCAATTCTTCAAGAAGACACAATAATACTAAGTGTATCTCTACCTAATATCTGAGCTTCAAAATACATGAAACAAAAAATAATGGTATAAGTGACAGGAGAAATATTATAGTTGGAGAGTTCAACATTGCCCTCTCAGTAATTGATAGAACGAGTAGGCAGAAATCAATAAGGATATAGAAGACTGCGCAACACTACCCACCAACCTGCCCTAACTGATGTCTCCGACACGCTCCGCAGAGCAGCAGAGACTATTCCTTCTTGTCTGGTCCACATTAAACATTCATCACAGCAGACCACATTCTGGACTATAAATCAAGCCTCCATACACTTAAGTGGACTTAAATTATACAGGGCATGCTTTCTTACCACAATGGAATTAAACTAGGTATCAGTAATAAAAAAGATTACTTGGAAAATCCTAAAAACTTGGAAAAGAACATAAACAACATGCTTCGAAATAACCAGAGTACAAAAAAAAAATCACAGGGGAAACTATTTTAACCGAATGCAAATGAAAATACAGTGTCTCCAAACATGCAAGCTAGAGCTAAACAAAACAAATCAAAAAAGGGATTCAGTAACAAGTTTATCTCATAGCATAATTTAGCTGAACAGTGGCTGTTATTCATCATTACATAAAGCAGCTTAATTCACTGATATTTACTGATCCTCTCCTTAAAAGCAAAGAATCCTGCTGGCTGTTCCTGGGGATAGTCCCTTAATTTGGCAGATAAAATTAAAATTAAGGCCTTTACCTAAACTCCAAAGCCAAGCTAGACAGAGGAGACAGAAATGCCACATAAGTGAATGCACTGATCCCTCCAGTGCAAAGAGAAGCAGGCAAGGCTGTGTGAGAGGGGAAGCATGGGGCTTGGGTTTAGAAGCCTCACAATACAAAGGGCTGAGTGAGTACAAATAGGCCTCTAGCTAGAGGTGCAGTGGGACAAAAAACAGAAAGCAGAAAGGCCAAAAGGCAGGTGGCAGGTTCAGTGAACAAACAGCTAATTCAACTTCACTACAACACAGGCATCGCCTAAGAGAGGAGGCTTGGGACTGGACTGTTAAGGGCCTGGAGTGACCTGCAGACTGGACTTGAAGCCAGACCCTGGGTGTGAGTCCTGGGTCTACTGTGGACTAATAATGGGACCATAGTCCCATCTCTCCATTCTCTGAAGCCCACTTTCCTCCTCTGAAAAGTAGACACCGAGAATCCCAGTCAATCACTCAGAGTGCTGTAGGAGCAACTGCACCACCCCATGGTGAAGCACTAGGAGACACAAAGGCAGAGGGAAGGTACTGAAGGCTTCTGTGAGCTGGAGGGTGGCAGAGAAACCCTGGGCGGAAGGAAGATGAATGACACCCTCCTGATGTGAATGCTGGATGAGAAGAATGTGAAATAAGGCTAGCGTAGCAGTGCAGGCAGAGTAACAAGGGCCTCAACCAGTGAGGCTGTAGGAAAAGCACCAGGAAGAGGCAACCAAAGGAGCCCTCAGGAGATGGGTCCAGAGACTGACTGAGGATGAGATGGGAAGCCAGGGAGGAATAAAGTGGAACGTGGGTCTAAAGCAGTGGACATGTGGGAGAATTTGACTCCCAAACAGGGAAGTTAGAAAATAAGCCCTATATTCTAGATGTAAAGCTTCTAAACAAATTTTGACCTATACAATAAGAAACAGCTGACTATGGAAGGAAAATAATATCTCATGTAAGAAAAATTTAATCCTAGAAACTATGCATCTATTCTAAAAGTATCAGGTGGCAAACCACTTCTATATACAAATGCTATTCAGTAAAACATTATAGCTGAATTTTACCATATAATTTCTGACAAGAATTTTTATGCATATTGTCATTTTATTCGAAGGTTGCAATAAATGCAAAAATTCACAAGTGAAGACACCACAGGAAACTACTAAAGTATTATTGTAGATGCACCAGAATTCACTACCGAATAAATCTTTTGTGTTGAATCGACAATGTCAAAGCAGGTAAAATGTGAAAAAAAATCAGCATGATGGTAGGGGGAAAAAATCATTTTTTTAAACTGAGTTTTCTGCTTTAATAAAAAATTCATTAAAAAATGTAATCAGCCCTGGCCCGTGTGCTCAGTGGTTAGAGCACAGGTTCTGCAATTAAAGGTGGGGGTTTGATTCCTAGTCAAGGGCACGTACCTGAATTGCAGGTTTGATTCCTGGCCCCAGTTGGGGTGCCTGTGAGAGACAACCAATCAAAGTGTCTCACATCAATGTTTCTCTCTCTTACTTTCTCCCTCCTCTCCCCCTCTCTCAAAAAAAAAAAAGCAATGGGAAAAATATCCTCAGGTGAGGATTAACCACAAATACAAAAAAACAAAAAGTAATCAATCAAGAAAGCCTAGTCACCTGAATCCACTGAACACACAAACATAACAGAAAACACCATCCTTAAATAAAGTATAGTTGTATGAGCTGCGGATTGTGTGTGAATCAACACAATGCTAACTAGTGACCCAGGATTCTACCTAAGGTTATCAGGCTGAAAAATAAAACCTTATTTCACACCAATAGAACCACTGTCGCATACTTGAACCTGATTGACTATGTAACAATATGATCACCTTTCAAAATGATTAGAAATTACGTTTGAATAATGTCCATTGAAATTAGGTTAGGTTTAAATTTTTTTTAAAAAAGTCAAGTAATTTCTAAAACAATATAGCACCCAAAGTATAAATAGATTAGATTAGCTCATTCCAATAAACTCAATGAGTGAAGGTTTGTTGTTTCATGAAAAGAGCTTTTCCAAGCTTATCTAAGAGATACTTAGAACAGTGTCTATTATCTATTACATGCCCATTTACAAATTACGCCTAAGACAATGGAAAGAGCCATTCAAGGTCTGCCCTACAGCTTTGTGCTAACATACTATATTTTTGCTCAGAATCAGTTGGTATAGAAAGTGTACATGTAGAAAGAAACTAACTAGAATCCTGGGAGTAATATACCTAACTTCTTAGATGTAGTATTAAAACAATCCTCAAAAGGCAATCGGAAGGGGGAGGGAGGAGAGGGAAACATCTGGATGGGCTCCAGAGAACTCACCCGTGCAAAGTCAAACGCATATCTGTAAATAAGTTTAAAGTTTGTAGAATCATTTAATAATGATCTTAAGTAATCCAAAGTATTTCTGAGTTTTTCTGTTGTATCACATCTAGAAAAACAGAATAAAGGCAAATTATAACCTGAGTTTTTTCTTAATAGTGGCAGTAATATAAAAACACAATACCAAAAGACAGAATAAAAACTATGGAGTTGGGACACATCCACAATGACCTATTTTTCCTACACTTTTTATTTTTAAAAATTTCAACTGTACAGGAAAGATGAAAGAACCATTAATAAGCACCCATATGCCCATCCCCCCGGTTCACAATAAACACTCCCACTTGTGCTCTCTCTCACATACACACACTTTTTTCTGAATCATTTGAAAGCAAGTTGTCAACAAAATGACACCCTAAACACTTAAATACCATCATCACATTTAATATCCTATCAGTGTTAACTTTCTTAGCTAATATACAACCCACATTGTCAATTTCCCAATTGTTCCCCCAATTTTCTTTATAGCTGTGGATTTCTTTCAATCATAATCCAATTAAGACTCATGCATTGCTTTTAGTTGTCATATCTCCTTAGTCTATGGAAGGGTGTCCTGCCTTTTTGCTGTCGTTCTTGAAAATGTCATTTTGAAGAGATCAGACTAGTTGTTTTATAGAATCTCAATTTGTCAGGTAAGCCCTAACCAGTTTGGCTCAGTGGATAGAGCATCGGCCAGCAGACCAAGGGTCCCAGGTTCGATTCTGGTCAAGGGCATGTACCTTGGTTTCAGGCACATCCCCAGTGGGGAGTGTGCAGAAGGCAGCTTATCGATGTTTCTTTCTCATCGATGTTTCTAACTCTCTATCCCTCTCCCTTCCTTTCTGTAACAAATCAATAAAATATATATTTTTAAAAAATTTGTCAGGTAATTTTCCTAGAGCTGTATTTAGGTCAAGCATGTATGATAAGAACACTACACATGATGTCCTTCCTGGTGTAGCCCAGGAGGAGGCTGACACATCACTCTGTCCCATCACTGGTGACACTGAGCTGATTCATTTGGATAAAGTGGTGTCCACTAGATTCCCCAGGTAAAGACACTTTTCCCTCGGAAATAGTACACAGTTTGTGGGATATCTTAAGACTCTGAATCCTGTTCCTCAAAAACCTTCACTTGGTGGTTTTGCCATCCATTGATGATAGCTGGCTGAATTGATTCTACATTTGAAGGTCCAAATTGGTGATTTTTCCAACTCTATCATGCTTTTATACTTACGGCTGGAATTCTTCTCAAAAGAAGAGCTCTACTCAACACCTTTCTTTTTTGGGGGGAGTTAAGGAATTTTTGCTTTTTATTCAGTGTTATAAGCTATTACTGTCTTTATTCTTTTTGATGAACAAACTGTTCTCATTTGAGCTATGGCCCCTTCAAGCTGCTCCAGTGTCCTTCTGACATGCCCCCATCAGTCTTTCAGCACATCTTCACTTTCTGGCACAAGATATTCAGCTCACTTTGTACTTTCCCTGCCTCAGACTTGAAATCAGCTATTTCTCAAGAAAGCCCTGGTGGTGATAATCTATTTTTACAGGAAAGTGACACACTGTTTACTTTTTCTAAGGAAGTACAATAATTGGTTATTTTTACAAACTGATTTTCTGCTTATAATATCTAGCTCTTAAAAAATGAGAACCAGAGTCCCTACTTTCACCGGCAATATTCAAGCTTTTCAATGCTGCATTTCTCTGTTTCTCTGTAGAGCTTTTATCTACTACTAAGTATATAGCCCATACACATGACAAATATTATCAATGTAAATATTGTAAATACTTTATAAATGAAAATATAGTTCATAATAGAACACACTGATCTATTTTTAGCAATACATTTGTGAAAGCTAAATATAAAAAAAGTCCTCATGATCTACTGAAACAAAATATCTAAAAGCCAAAAAAGAAAGTAAATATTTCATTTATGAGTCTACAACTAAACAGAATGTTCTCTATTTCTTGCTAATGTTTGAAAACTAAAAGAATATATATATTTTAGAAGTCAGAAATGGCTTCTTTAAGTAACATGTAAATTGAGAGCTAAAAGAAGAAACTCAATGTTTTTGGAGAGAATGGCTTTCCAGATAAAAAGAACAGCATGTGCAGAGACCTAGTGGTAGAAGGGAGTGTAGAAAGTCCAAAGACGAAAAGAAAACCATTGTTAAGTAGACTAGGTAGAGTAAGAGGGGAAGTGGTACAAGATGAGGCTGAAAGGGAGATGGGACCAGACCATAAAGAGTTTCTGTGGCCCACAGTGTTTATTTTTTAATTGAGTCCTAGAGCCAATGGAAGCCACCTCCTGCCATGGGAGAGACCAGGATCAGGCATTTTGAAAGGCTCACTCTGGAAGAAAGGGGGAGAACTGATAGCCTAATTTGAGATGTAGGGCCAGTACCCAACTGAGAGACAAGAGAGGATAAAAGGACAGGATACACAAGAAAGCAGTAAGTGGGAGCAGAGCTCACTTTGCATTGGGCACTCTACAGTATGGTTTTATTTATTACCATGTATATAAATAAATAATATTAATAATATGGGAAGGGTCAATGCTAACTCCAAAACATAAGGTCGAGCGAGGTCCCTGCTCTTCAGTGGAAAGGAAAGTTAAGTATCAAAGCCACAGGAAATTGGCCAGATTATGATGGGTAATTTAGTTCAGTCCTGCTCAATGGGAAGAGGAGCAGTTGTTTGTTTCAATAGATTCAAGGACAGGAAGCCTTCATTTAGATAAGGCAAAATGTCAAGTTCTGCAGCATGCCTGGGCGTGAGTCCAGCACTCTGGCAAAAGATGTCCCCGTGTTTCAAAGACTAGAGATCTTGTCTGGAGTGTACAGCACAAAATGCCCAAGTAACATTTCAATTTTATATATCTATAAAGGATAGTTACCTGGGTTAGAGATGATATTGTCAACAAAGAATTTAATCTGCTTTAAAAAGGACTTTGTCAGGCAGACCCTCTGGACCAACCACTTGGGAAGCAGGCCACTGAGTCACCAGGTCTGAACCAGAGGTTGCCATCTAGTGGCCACTCAACAAGCTCCTTAGCAGAAGTGTCAGCTCTTACAAAGGGCCTGTGAAGAAACAGGCTTAGAAAGTAAGCAACCAGCAGAGATTTTTCAGGAAGCAGCCATATCTTCAATCCTTTCTGTGAACCATGCATAAGAAAACACAGATGCTGCAGAGTGACAGTGCCACACTGCTACCAAACAAAATATACACATACAGTGGGATCATTTCTTGAGTCTCACTGCTACAAACAACTTGGAGTAAACATAAATCAAGACAATAATCCTCAAAAGTTATAAAATCAAAGGAAGTTCTCCCCCATTTCGTGGAAAAGGCCTTCACCCCTTTACTCAGTCAACCCAAAGATACTTTCCCAACCCACCATCAGTTCTATGCAGTTAGCTACCACGCTAACACACTTCGTTTTTAACTTAAACATCCTTACAAAACGGCAATTTTCAACCTTTCGCATCTCACAGCACATGTCAACTAATGACTAAAATTCTGTGGCACGCCAAAAACTATATATTTTCTCAATCTGACAAAAAATTAGGTATAATTTTGATTCATTCAAAACGGACAGCTATTGTTGTTGGTTGTTGTCATTTTTAAATTTGGTAATCAAAGGGAAAAGAGGTCAGTGCCTCTGACTAAATAGTCAGATATTGCATGTTTTCAAAATTCTTGTGGCACACCGGTTGAAAATCAGTACTATAAAGCTTAATTCATCAGCAGTAGCCTTAGTGCATGTTGGAACAAGGCAATCCTATCTAATAAAAGAGAAACATGGTAATTAGCGTACAACCGCTACCCTTCCCATTGGCTAATCAGGGCAATATGCAAATTAACTGCCAGCCAAGATGGCGGCCGGCAGCCAGGCAGCTTGAAACTAACATGAGG